GTCAATAAAAAAATATTGAAACAAGTCTGAAACATGTATTTTTGTGACTTGCATTATTTGGATAATCAGGATAGATTCTGGTAGAAGTAGTCAGGAAGAAATGTAAAATATCCGTGACGCATGGCTCAAAGGTGCCGCCTAGCGGCCAAAACTATCATTGCAGAAATGCAGGCTCATCACTGACTCATTTAACATAGAAGTAGCGATAATTCATCGTTTAAGTGGTTTATCAGTCCGGCAAACATAACTTGTATTATTTGGGTAATCAGGATTAAAAAAGACATTGTCACGGCCAACGCTCACACGGTCTAAATTTAGCGCCGCCCAGTGACGTGTTTCGGTACTGCAGCCGCTGAAATCTGCCATCACAAGCAGTAATCACTTGACCGTCCGGCGAACATATGTGTACTATTTGGATAATCAGGAGATAAAAAAAGACCACCTAATTTCAACATTGTTACCACCACAGCAGGAAAGTCAGGAAACTACGTAGCAACCACATTAGTGACTCAATTGTACACCTACTGGTGGTAAACAGGTGATTTTTCGGTCGTCTTTTTTTATCTCCTGATGACCCAATTAGTACAAGTTATGTCCGCCTAACGGTTAAATACTTGTTGATTTTGACCAAGCACTTAATCGTTCGGCAGACATAACTTGTACGAGTTGGGTAATCAGGAGATAAAAAAAAGACGACCAAAAAACCACCTGTTTACCACCAGTCGGCGAAATACGTAGCAAGGAAACTTGTCGATTTCTGCTTTCCAAAGCCTTTCCTTCCTTCACAGTTACTCATATGCTATCCTAGCTGGTTAATAACGCAATAACGGTGTCCTTCTTGTGATATTTTTCATGTTCTGAGGAAAGTAAACTTCGGTTTCTAACGATTTGTACGTGTTATTTATTACGCACTTGACGCAGACACGGTCTCAATTTAGCGCCGCCCAGTGATGAGTTTCAGTACTGCAGGCACTGGTACTAGCCTTCATAATGTGAGATGCCAGGGACTGCAGTACCGAAACACGCCACTGGGCGGCGCTAAATTAAGACCGTGTCACGGCCATGTGCAGCATTGTATGCTTCATTAGCTGGAGGCCAGGACGCTGTAGTACCTTCAAGCATTGCTAGTCGGCGCTTTAGGAGATTAGGTCAAAGGTCACAGAGTTTCGCCAGGTGAGCCGGCGGCATGTTTAGATCGTGTTTCGATGGAGTTCCGGACGGATTTTACTAAATTTAGCTGCTTTTCAGCTAAAGCGAGGAGGCTCAGGTATGTAGGTGTGAATGATTTGTTCTGTTTCTGTCGATTGTGGACAGTTTATTTATTAATTTCCCTGTTAGTGGCTATATATATTATCGGTGATGCCTTCGAATCGTTGTTGTTTATATTCCTAAATACACGTTGGGCCACTCTACTCCTCAAGTAATAACTTTGCTGATGACTAAGTGAACGTGTGTATCTGAGATTCTCTGTCATGATTGTGAAAATTACGTTACACTTGTACATGTGTCGGTATTGTTATTAAAGTTAATTCCACCACACTCCCGGCCTGTTTCTGTAGTACTGGATGTCGAGCTTGTCCAGGCGATTAACCATGACCAGATCTGACATATTCCTCCTACTGAGGGATCGGTGCAGAAGTTCAAGGGAACTGCAGACATGCTGAAGTTATAAAACGTTAAAAAAATACAGGTACAATGTATTCTGTTGATTATATATATGTGTGACTATATACACATTCTGTGTTAAAATATAAGTGCTGTAAAATTTCCATGGTTAACTAGTATTTAGCAATCCAGCCTTGATTATGATCACCTGTGTTACAGATGCATATCAACATAATTTACCCAAATGGCCGTTTTTGTGTCCGGCCCACGAGTGAAAGAAGTGGTCTGTAGAAGTGGTGTTACGCTTAAGGACGTGGACTTTATAGTAAAGAGTTGTTATAATGTTCGCAGCTTTGCCATATGTGCAAACTATATGTATTGCTGTTTATTTTGTTTCCTTAAGTCAAGGAAACAACCGTTCATAACAAGTGTTGATGATCAAACTAAAGAAAGTCTCACATACACACAAATTCATGAAACAAAACTTTCTTCTGGCTATTACTTTAAGTATAAATGTTAGGAAAAGTGACGAACTGTGCTTCTTGTATTATTGTCTAAACCCTGCTATATTAGCTATGACTTGCATGCGGCAAACATGTGAGCACCATGTATGTACATGTAAGAGGGCAGTCTTCATTTTAGAATTGATATTGTTCATGTTTGCCATTTTATTGTTCATGTTTGTCAAATTTGTGGCAGTGGTTAGAATGAATGTAAGAATGAAATTCAATTCTGTAATATTACCCATTGTCTTCTCTTCCTGCCTATCTATGTCTCATAGTTGAAAGAAATAAAGAATACTTTTCCATGATCTGTCCCTCTTGGTCTTGTTTGTGTACTATAGCCCAACATTTAATATATTCAGGTTAATTACACTCACCTGTGGCACAGGTGTATATGAACATAATTTATCCAACTTAAGTCCCACGAACGAGAGATATCTACTGTGGAAGTAGTGTAAAGATTTGCTGGGGTGTAGGAGGGGTTTGGGGTATTAAAGGCCTCAACAATATTAAACACGGTATTGAGGGGAGGGCTAGAGGGATCAGGGAAATTGTGGGGTAAAATGAACGTATAAATGAAGATTTGTCTTGATTTTTGTTATAAGTATAACATAATGCGACATTGTGTTACGTGGCGTCATGCGGCACAGTCTGGTGCGGCCAGACCGGCCTTAAGGGCACCGCGAAGGGCCCTAGTTTTTGAGCCACTAACTTCCCAGACAGAGAAGTAGTGGACTCCTAAGCCATAGGACAGCTCAGCTCAGCCGTCCAAGGCTCGTACATGACAACCCACTTGGATTGTCATCATCCCCAAAACGGGGGCTGTCATTCCGAACATCGGAACAACATGACCACAGGATGTTATGCCAAGGGGTCCGGAGTAGCTCTCTGCAACTTTTGTTCGTGGTCTGATCATGCACAGCCTTTTTTTGTCAAACCACACAGAAAACGATGTCAAACATCAGTATTTCGGCACCAAGAGAGACCGAACTACTAATGAACCGTGATCCATCCATGTTTTACCTTATTTATCGCTCTATTTCTCCTGTATTTTGCTTTTTCGTGACAAGAACAAGCCTTTTGCTTGGATAAATTATGATGATCGTTTGGTTTCAGGTGAGGAAACTTCAGGTGAGCTGATTAGCATTTCACTGGCTCCCTGCCTACTCGGGTAGTATTGTTGTTTCCATGCTTCATACCTTCAAGCAAGGGGCTTTTTGAAGCGCTTTGCTTGCTTCAAATGGTCTTCTTCAGTCTTCTTCAACATTGAATAAAACCAACCTATTTTTCTAGCTCATGTAGCTAGAGGACACTCTTGATATCTTTACCCTTCGATTTTTATAACCACCATTCACAGGCATGCGACGGTTCTATCATTATTGTCACGTACGCTTGTGATCCGTATACCTAACCCGGGAAGCGCTGTTTATAGATACAGGCCTCCCTCCATGTGATAATCTATGTGATCAAAAGTTACGATCTTCCTTCTCTACATCTGCTTGGTTTTCATTCATATGGTAATGTTTTCGACAGCGAAAAGTCCACTTCTGCAAAGGCTTTGACCACTTCTGCAAGCGATCAGCTGATCGTAAAAACACATTTTCACGGATAATTCAAGAATGAAACTAATTCGGACGAAGGCATTAAGTAGGAATATAATAGAGACCATAAGAAATATACTGTGAAAACAAGGGCACGAAAAAACGTCAAAAGTTTAATTTTTCTAAAATTCAAAAAGCGGATATTCATCCCCTATCACATCCCCGTTTTCGAGCCCCCGTTCCAAAAAGGCCCGTATCTCGCTAACGAAGCCTCGCTCATTCCCAGATCTGGCCATTTCGCGACTTGGGAAACGCGATGGGCTCTTATGGGGGTTTTGGTCCCCTTCTTTCATGCGCTTAAACTTGACCCTGAGACTTCTCTTGACTACTTACCACCCTGGAGTCTATAAAGTTTGAATTAGTAAGTTATTTAGTTGGTCAATCTGAGAAAAATAAGGCCAGATGGGCTCATACGAGGCTGCTAAATATGGGCTATTTTTCGCTTCATTTTTATTAAAATTTCTGACTCTCAGTTTCTGCCTCTTTATCTCAGTATGTTTCTTTGGTTTCTCTAAGTCTGTTTCTTTGGTTTCTCTAAGTCTGTTTCTTTGGTTCTCTAAGTCTGTTTGCTATTACATACACCTCCCCCCCCCCACATACACACACACATGTACACACACACTTTATAAAATAAGTAGTTACTTTACAATGTATATATGTAACGGTTGTTTGTATTCTATTCTTCTGTTGTTTCCTGTACTTAACCCAGTGGGTATGTGCGTACAATTAAGTTCTTCATTCATTCATTCATCCATCCATCCATCCATCGATACATTCATCCATCCATCCATCCATCCATTCATTCAATAAAACACCACGCAATGATGACACTTCCAGACTGCGCAGCTACAACAAAACTTTAAATATATTTTCATTTCATTATCTACCAATATTGTTCAAAAATCTATCTCCAGGATCATTGATATATGATAAAAACTCTGGGAAGATTACGCCTAAAACTAGACATTTTTACAACAGCAACAACGGCGGATGGATGGCTTAAGTCCACCCGACCAACATAAGTATGGGCACAGTACATAAACCAGATATATATATATATATTTATGTATATGTATATATAGCATAGCCTTGTCTACTTCAGCAATAACCTGCCAACCCCTCAACAACAGAAGTGGATTTTGTTGAACAATGAGCGAACGCTTCGTTACAACTACTACTTTCTTCGGTACTCTGTGGTAGTTGTCGCAACACGCTGACTTTTCAAAGTGTTTCACTGTAGCCTGAACTGGGCAACGCTTCCAGAAAAAAACAACACTTTCTCTGGAAATGAAAAAGAATATTAAGATGTTTTCTTCCGATACAGTCTTAATGTTTCCAAACACTACTACCGTTGGTTTCTTAGGGTTACGACTTCTCTGAAGAGCTACGACCAAACATTATTGTATTTTTTTTGTGTAGTTTTTTTTTGTGACAACATCCACCATAATAATTTCATTTTTTTGTCTTTGTGCAAAAATACGGGTCTGGAAGAAAGCTGGTGCAGAAACAAGCCTCTCTAAGTGCTAACCAGTGCTACATTCAGTGTTCCAACATCACAGCTATTCACTGAAAAATTGGCAACATTGCAGATTAGGTAACAGTTCTGCCTTCAACCAACCTTAAGAATTCCAAAATTCGTGCCCTCTTGTTTCTTAATACATCTCTGATGTAGAAAATCAACTACTGAACGGTTAGCAACTGAGGCTGGCTACACTATATCTGAGGACCTTTTTTTTCCACCATATATACACAACAATGCTATGGAGTGAAATATAAACTATGTATGACATGTTCAGTCCATTCCCTGAAGGAAAAGACAAGACGTTCAGTTT